CAGCCTCAGCATTAGAGTGACAGCTATTTCAATCCTCCAGGTATGTATGCAATGCCTGTCTTTACCTCTGAACCACACTTTTGGTGACAGTTTCATTAGGAATTGAATGCTTACATCCCCCTCAGATTCACGTGTTGAAATCCTAACCTCCAACAGGAGGTGGGGCTTTAGCAGGTGGGGCTCTGGGGAGGTGAATCACCTCCACCATCGTGGGTGGAATTGATCCCTATATTAGTCATCTTTCTGTTGTCAGGAAAAAATACCTGACATGTCCAACCTGAAGAAAGAAAATTTATTTTGGCTCACGGTTTCAGAGATTTCGGTCGATAGTTGGCTGGCTCAAAGGCAGAAACATCATGGCAGAAAGGCCTGACAGGAAAGCTGCTCAACTCTTGGAAGCTGGAAAACATAGTGAAAGAGACTAAGTAAAGATAATACCCTTCCAAGGCAGGCCCCAGTGACCTACTTCTAACTGAATCCCACCTCTCAGGAGCCCACAATGCCCCTTTTAAAGGACCCTCCCCCTCTTTTCTCCATGATGATACAATGAGAAAATGATAGTCTGACACCTGGAAAGGGCTCTCTCCAGAGCTGACCATGTTGGCCTTGAACTTTCAGTCCCCTTATATTTGCAAGCAATCAATTTCTATTGCTTAAGTTACCTGTTATGGTTGATACATTGTGTCAATTTGGGGAGTCTAGAGGTTTGGCTAAGTGACTTAGCAGGAAGCCAAGGTGCTTACTTTGTATACATCCTGAGCCTGTGGAAGAGGAGGGCATGGAGATTATGTGAGAGCTACATGCCCCTTAGGTGGGGGTAGCCTGTTTACAAAGTGAGGCAGGGGAAAAAAAGCTGCTTGCCGCCATTCCTCTGTTTTGCTCTGGCTGTTTGCTGTTCGGCTGCCATTCCCCCCTTGCTCTTGTTGCTTTGTTATCTTCTGCCTCGGAGCCAGCCAAGTATGGACTGAAACCTCCACAAACTGTAAGCTAAATAAACCTTTCCTTCCTTAATTTTGGATGTTGGGTATTTTGTTTCAGCAAGGAGAGAAAAGTAACCAAGACATTACCCAATCTATTGTACTTTTGTTATACCAACCCAGACATGCCAGAACGAGGCCTACCCCAACTCTGAAAAGTAGAGGTGGCTAATCTTACATCAGCCTCCCCACCACCACCATGCCCTCCAGCATTTACTTTGCTGACCCTATGTAGAGAAAATCTACATTTGTGAAATTAAAAGGTTGCAAATAGTAAGAGTTTTCTCTTTATCAAGTTGTCTTGCATCCTCCAAGCTATCTTTCATTCATCTTTGTTGAATGAATTCAGAAGCTCGAGAGAAAAACCTGAAGCATGCTTTTGTTTCAAACATGAATTCCACATCAAATCAACTGCGCAAATTCCTAACCCTACAAATACGACAAACAAAAGCACCCGGAAAACCAGCAATTAAGGGCTAAAGTTATTTGCAATACGGTTTTCCCATGTTATCGTAGGTTTCACAGTGTTATCCGTGAGGAAACTGGGAGATTATTTTGCTGTGAGAAGAACGTGAGCTGAACGGATGTGACTGATCCGTGCCTTCAACTGACTGGTGAGGATAGATGTCTGAAATGGAACACAAACATTTGAAAAATTTTACGTGAGCTGAGAAGCAAGAATTTAGAGGCAATTTCTAAATTCAGAAAAAGAATGGCAGTGACCTACTAGTGACACCTTCTAAAGAAGCTCAAATAGTGTACTTAATTGAATTGGAGCCACCATCAAAATAAAGGCATGCCATTAAAAGCAAAGCAAAATGAAAATACTGCAAATGAAATTAAAACAGCACTTTTGTATCATTTGGAAGTTTTATTTTGTACACATGTTTTATGACATGCTTTTAAAAATCTCTTTTCACTTACCTAGACGATTCTTTTGTGTATCATTCTTGTGTTGGCAAAAAAAATAAAAAATAAAGGAAAAATATTAGTTAAAATATTCCTCAAACCTCACACGCAAAGTCCAGCTCTTCCACGTCACTTCTGACACTCACTCCGTGTCAGCAATGTCTGGATGCAACATTTCTTAAAGGGATATTCTGAGCCGGGCATGGTGGGGCTTGCCTGTAATCCCAGCACTGTGGGCGGCTGAGGCAGGATGACCACAAGTTCAAATTGTGCATGAGCAATTTAGCAAGAGCCTGTCACAAAATAAAAAATAAATTTAAAAAGGTCTGAGGGTGTAACTCAGTAGGAAGTCCGTGAGTTTGATCCCCAGTACCAAAACAACAAAAAGGATGCACTGGACTGGGGGACGACCTCAGTGGAAGAGTGGTTGCCTGGCATACCTGAGACCTCAGATTCCCGGTCCACCACTGTAAAACAAAACAAAAAAGTGTGCCCCACCATTGTCTCTAGGTTTTTCTTCCCAGCTGCTGTTCCCAGTCTGAAGGTTTTGACACTAGCATTTTCATGGTTTTACAAAAAGTGTCAAAGTAAAAGACTCTTCAGACCTCCTAACCTGTGGTCCAGTGGCTTGTTGACCGAAGCATCAAGTGTTCAGTTGTGCAGATGGGCTATCCAGGGTTACAAGCAAGTCTGAGCACACAGAAGCAGTGGAAGAAATTACACAACTGCCAACCAGCTGGCAATGACTGTAAGACATAGCCACTTGCCTATGCTTGTTCTGAGCTGTAGCTTTTCAAAGACAGTTCCCTACAACAAGCCACCTTCAGAATCAAGCCACCTTCAGAATCACCTCTCTGCCTTTACACCTGCTACTCTATCCCCCTGTGGGTCATTTCCCACCTTGTCCTGCTGCACTCCTACATAGTTCAAATGTCACCTCCTCCCAGAAACCTCCTAGGATCTCTCTAAGTTCCTGCAGTCCTTTGGCACATTGTGTGGCACATTGGATGGAGCCTGTGTTTGTGGGCATGATTTCTCCTTTCTACTGTGAACTCTCTGGGGGACAAATGCCTTGCCCTTGCTATTTGGGGCAGCCCCAGCTCTCTGCACTGATGACTGGAATAGCAAGGTTACCTATAGCCCACCAGAGAAATGAATGAATGAATGAATGCATGCATGCATGACTGAATGAGTGAATGAAAGAAAAGTTATCACTTGGAAGCCACTTTATGATATGATCTGAAAAATGCTGAAGAAGACCTGCTCCCATCTCGCATTTTCCCAATGGACATTTATAAGTCCTAGAATAGAATTAAAATGTCCTTTGTAACATTTTAACTCTTCCTTACAAATAAGTAGAGCTCAGTTAATCATATCAGACGCTGGCCATGGCAGCTTGCTGAAACTGTCCCCATCCAAACCTGAGTGAAAGAGAGACCAGGAGAGAGTGAAAAGCTACTCCAAAAGAGAGAAATAAAATATGTTCTCCAGGAAGAGGTTCCTAACCACCCTATAGTCTGAATTAGATGCTTCTTCCTCCTCTGAAGCCCAGAAGTCTTTCCTCTCCAACACTCTGTGTTATCATTGGCTCTTCACCTCCCCCATGTTAGCTTCCATCACTGTGATAAAATAGCTGAGAAAGTCAATTTAAAGGTGAAAAGGTTCATTTTTGGCTCACCATTTCAGAAGGTTTAGTCCATGGTCCTGGTGGCCTTTGAGTTTACAGTGAGGCCGTCCATTGTGGTGGAAGCTGGTGGCACAGGAAAGCTGGTGACCTAATGGGAGTCTAAAGGAAGAGACAGGTGGGAGAGGGGGTATGTACACAAGTGGGAGAGCAGAGACAAAATGCACCCATCAAGGATGTGCCCCTAATGATCTTCTTACTTAAGTGAGGCCCTTTCTCCTAAAGTTTCCAGCACCCCCAATACCCCATTAAGTTATAAATTTCTGAATGGATTAACTGAATCCTGAGGTCAGAGCCTTCATGAGCCAATCACTGCCCAAAGGGTCCATCTTTGAACACTGCTGCATAGGGGACAAGCCTTGAACACATGAGCTTTGGGGAGACATTTCAGATCATAACACTCTGAAATCATAACACTCTGAAGGACTCAGTGTCTTGTTCATCACTGTATCTCCAATAGTCAGCTCAATACACACTGGTTACTTATCAGATCCTTGGACAACAACTAAAACTGAACTTCAGAGCCAACATTTATATCAAGGGAGAATAATGATAGTTAAATACTATGCCTTACAAGATCCCAGATAGCCAGACAGACAAATAGAGAGATGCATACACACCTCTGTATCACTCCTTCCACAGCGCTGCTAATTCCAACAGCAAGGTAAAGATCAGCAAAGGGCAGTGTGTGGACCCTATGGCACAGGATATCTGCACAGGATGTGTGCACATGAAGCCAATGTCAAGAGGAATTAGGAAACAGTGGACTTGGCAAGAAAACTAGTAGTGAAGTCCCAACAGAAGTTACTTGACATAGTGCTTACACATGCTCACAAATGTAAATATTCAGGCAAATGGAAATGAGAACAGCCTTGGGCAGGAGCCTCGACCCAGTCATATCTGCTCTGTCATTAATGGACATGGAGAGGAGCAGGGCTCAGTGTCAGGAACTTGCTGATCCTTCCCGTGCATGAAGGTCTCCATTCCTGTGAGCTGTGGATTCTTTTGCTCATCTTATTGTACCTTGCAGGATGCCTGGCACGTAGCATGCACTCCATAAGTATTTGCTGGTAGAGTGGTGGTAGAGTGGTGAAGGAAATGAGGTTCAGAGAGATTTAGTGACATATCCAAGGTCTTCAGTAAGACAAGGAATTAGAATTCAAGCTTATGTCTGACCCTGGAACTCTAGAGATGGTGAAACTCCCACCCTAAGGCACAGGAGACCAACCTCAAAAATGGTTGGTCCCAAAACATTAGGATATTGTCTTAATAAAGTTGACTCACCCTCTCTCTCGCTCTGTCTCTCTTTCTCTTCCTCTGTCTCTCTGTCTCTCTCCCATTTATGTCTATTTCTCTGTTCCCTACTCTCTCTCCCTCTATATCTGTCTTCCTATCTTTTTCCCTGTCTCCCCCATTCCACCTCTCTTTAGGTTACTGGTGCAGTGTGCGAAGGCTGGCCGTGGATATTTTACCATTCTTAAGGAAGAGTCTGCGATGAAAAAGATGCAACAGCAACTTCAGAAACTCAAAGAGGAAGAAAGAAACAAATTCCAACCAGCCAAAAAATTGCCTGAAATCCATGGGGATACATTGCTGACGTAAGTGGACACAGTGGCTGTGGTGCTAGGGGTCTTGGGAAGAGCCATTGAGAGACAACCCTGCCAGGCTGGGTTGAGTGTGTAGCAGCTTGCTGGGGACAGAATCTTCTCCCTTAGTCTGAGTATCTAGTGCCTTCTTATTTTGATCCAACCTACCTTGCCAACTGTGCCTTCTGGTATTTGGTGAAATAGCTTCTGCTATGCGTGTCTGTCGTGATAGCCTGTCATGTTAGTCGCTGTTATGGTTTATATCTGTGTGTCCCCTCCAAAGCCTCATGCAACCACGGGCAGGCTATTAGGGTTGAATGATTGTGGGTGTGAGAGCTACACCAGCCCTGGGGTGGATAGTTTGCATATGTAAGGGAGAGGAAAAGAGTGCTTGGGGCATTCCTCCCCCATTCCGCCCTGGTGTGTGGTTGTTGCTTAGCTGTGTGCTGCCGCCCTGAGATGCAGCCCTCTGCTACGTGCCACTCTGCCTTATAATCTGCCAAGTACGGATTGAAACCTCCACAAACTGTAAGCAAAATAAATCTTTCCTTCCTTAATTTTGGGCGTCAGATATTTTGTCCCAGCAGCAAGAGAAAAGTAACCAAGACAGTCGCTTTCTGTCACTATGATAAAATACCTGAGAAAAGAAAAAGGCAGAAAAGTTCATATTGGCTCACGGTTTCAGAGGTTTCATCTTTGGCCTTCTCCAGTGCCTTAGGCCTGTGGTGAGGCAGAACATCATGGTGGAAGGACATAGCAGAGGAAAGCTGGTGGCTTTGTGGTTGCAAAGAAACAGAGAGGGAGACAGCCAGAGAGGAAGGAGCTAGGGACAAAATATACCCTTTCAAAGCCAAGCCCTCACTGACCTGCTTTACTCAATTAGGTTCTACCCTCTAATAAGCCCATTGAGCTATGAGTTTATCAGTTGGCTAATCCACTTGATGAAGTCAGAGCCCTCATGGTCCAGTCAGTTTCCAAAAGGCCCATGAGAAATGAGCTTTCAAATATTTTGAAGACATTTTGGATCCCAACCACAACACTAACACTGAGCACCGCATAAGAAACTGCTTGTCCCCAACTGTACCTATTTTGTTCCCTTTCCCAGGCCTTTTCCCACACTGTTCCTTGGAACTTATATATACTTCCCCCACATTCTTTCTGACCAAATTTCTATACTCATCATTAAACACCCAGTTTAAATGCCACCTTCACTGTGTATTTGCTGGATTTCAGCCAGGATGTCCTGCACACATTTGCCTTGCAGGTCCTCGTAGCATGTTCACTTTATTCCACTTTATTTCACGCTGGTTTGCTTTATTCCACTTCAATATCTCAGTTCTAGGTGTTCAGCTGCAGCCCCAGAGCCTAACTCAGCATCGATATAAAGCATGTACACAGAAAAAAATGTTTGTCTATTTGTTGAGTAAAGTCTCTCCCTTTTTTGGAAGGCTTTCCCCTGGTTGAGAAAGAGCCATCAACAGGTTGGTCCATTACAAACTGCCCATGCCTATAATAATAATAATAACAACAACCATAACAATAAAACCAACACTAATGATAATGAATGTTTACTACGTGTTTTATGTACATCTATTCATTTAAACTTCAAAACATAAAATTTCTATAAAAGAGGAATTTATTAGCTCTGTTTTAGAGATGTAGGAATGAATGCGTCTTAGAGATATTAATTGATTTTCTCCAGGGTTATTAGTTAGGAAGCATTCCTGAGTCCCAAATTCAGTGGTACAAAATTCCATAGAACTTACTCATCAACCGGGACAGAGCTTAGGATACTTAGTTTGTGCAGACTGAACGAAGCACACATCAAGGATGGAAAGGGGATGCTGACACAGACAGAGAGGAAGTGCACTGTAGAAATGGTCTGCAGCTGTAACTATCACTCTCCCGATCCTTGCTATGCATTACAATCACTTGGAGAATTCTTTTAAACTACCGATGCCTATGCTACACTCCAGGACAGTTACACTAGGCTCTGTGGGAACATTACATTTTCATAGTATTCTTTAAAATTCTCCTAGGTGATTCCAATATGAAGCTATGATTGAGTGTTCAAACTGCCAGGTTGTTTGCTAAAGATAAAACAGAAACCAAGGTCAGGCATGGTGGTGCATGCCTGTAATTCCAGCACTTGGGGGGTTGAGGCAGGAGGATTGCCATGAGTTCAAGGCCAGCCTGGGCTACATAGTGAGTTCAGGGCCAGTTTGAATTACAAAGCAAGACCTTGTCTCAAAAAAACAAACAAAAAAATGGAAACCAAGGCAGATACCCACTTCCCTTTGCACTATTCTTTAAATTCTATCTTCAGAATGTTCATTTAAAGAAATATTCATATATAATTTTATGATTAAGGGTCCTTTAATGAAATTGCATATGTGATCTTCTTGTGTTGGCTTCTGCCACTTAACAAAATGGGTTTGAGGTTCATCTTAGAAAGTTAGCTGGTGGTCAGCAGGGGCTGGGAGGGTGAAGGAGGGAAGTGGCTGCTAAATGCATGTGAGGTCTTCTTTTGGAGGTGATTAAAATGTTTTGGAATTAGATAGAAGTGGCACAACATAGCGAGTGTACTAAATGTCATGGAATTGTACTCTTTCAACAGTTAATTTTATGTTATATGATTTAAATAGAACAAAGAGCAGGTCTGTGATGCCCTGGGCTATGAGGTGGAAGAGAGGGCTGGATGCCGTTGGTGCCCTTAGAGCTCATGGGTCCAGGTGACAGATGAGAATGTGGACTACAAGACCATATCCAGACTGGCATACTTCCACTCACCCTCCTCGGAACTGTGACCCTTGGTGTCCCAGCTTATTGTGGAAAGGGTGTCCTTTTTGACTCTCTACTAGAGAAAACCCAGGGTTGTGATTTCTGTCCTGCCCTGTGAAGTTATTAGAAGGAAAGTTCTGTTCTGAATTGACAAATGTCCCCTGGCCCAAAGCTACAACCCCACTGGCAGATAGCCCTGGTTTCTATTCTCCAGTTTGAGCCCAGAGGGTTCTACTTTTTTGTCAGTGATTTGCCACTTTTAAGGGTTTGTGGTTGTAGCTGTTTCTGCTGTTGTTATTTTGTTTTGATTTGGTTTTTATTGTTGTTGCTGCTGCTGCCACTGCTACTTTGTCCAGAATTTGGGTTATTTGTACCCAAATGGCTGTTCTAAATGAACATTTGTGTGTTCATTTGTGAATGTATTTATTCATTCTGAGATGACAGCAGATAGTGATGATGCTTTCTCTGTGCCTGTTGAGGAGTGGACCTCCTTGTTCATTGAGCAGGGGCATCTGAATGAATACAACACATCTGATACAGAAGAAGCAGAAATTGATTCCCCTGAGAGACAGGACAGAGACTGCCAGAAGATGGGCTGAGTGTGTGGGCCCAAGGAGAGAAGCGAGAAGAGGCACCCCTCACTGGCAGGAAACAGATTTGTCAAATATGAATTTTCATGAGCTTTTGTGCCATGCTGTGAGATATGAATCCATTTCTCTGCTTCCCCATAGGTGTTTAATAAAATATCAGTGGTCCCATAGTGCATCAGGTTTCAGACCTTTAGGTTGGTCATGTTCGATGTCCACTTGGGGGCAGGGAAAAGAGGCTGTCTAGACCCAGAACCATATTCATGGCAAAGCACCCATGATATATTGAAGAGCAGACATATGCAGCTCAGTGTTGGCAGGGAGACAGGAAAAGGAGGAAGGGAGAACCTCTACCACATGCAGAACAAAAATAAGTGCCACAGGGGAGCACCCTAAAGTGCCCGTATATACACCTATCCCTTCCAATTGAAGAAGTGAAAAGGCAATCTAGAGAAAATCCAGTGGTGTGACCATTGAGCCTAAATCCAGTGGTGGACTGTTAGTGCTAAACGGAAGTTGTTTGAGTGATACCAAGAGGCAGTTAGCAGACCCATCACTACCAAGGGCACCAGGAAGTCTTGCAGCCATTGAGCCTGGCTAAGAACAAAATCTGGAAAAGGAGTTGAGACCATGTTGTCTTTTCAAAAATATTTTTAAAAGTTTGATTGACACAATAATTGCACATATTTATGGCACACAATGCCTATATGCAATATCTAATGGTCAGATCAGGGTAATTGGTATATCCATCCCCCCAGCACTGATCACTTCTTTATGTTGGAAAGTCAAAATCCTCTCTACCTGCTATGTTGAAATATACAACTAGCTGTGGTCAAGCTACAGTGCTACTGAACATTAGAAATCATTCCTCCTACCTAACTGCACCCCTGTGCCCATGTCATCTTTTGCAAAAAGTCATAAACATGAAGTTTAGAGTCAGAATGATTAAAATTCCCTTATCAGCCCTTCAAGGAGTGTATGAGCCTGGAGATTTTTAATTCTTTCATGAGAGTCCCAAGAGCTTGCCACAAATTCTGCCTTCCAGCCTGAGTCCAGGGGTCCGCAGTTTGATGTTTGCAGGGATACTAGCAAGCTGACAGCCATTCCCTGGGATAAAGAAACAGAATGAACTCGTAGCTTTTTTTTTTTTTTTTTTTTGCACGACCTACACTAACACTAACAGGCCCAAAAAAAACCCATGTTGGAGAAGGAGGATGATATTAAAGATGCTCCTGTACCTATTTAAATGGTTCAGGTGGAACATTCCACTTACTCAGGTTGGATTTTTAATCCACCTCCAGAGAACACAATTCTGCCTTCTCTGATCCATGTTTCAGTGGGCAAGACATGGTTTATTTAAAGTTTAATAAATTTAAATATGCATGAGATCGCTCTTGTCTCCTAGACATTGGTCTGGTTAATGTCTTATCTGGTAGATTCTACGAGCTGTACAAGGCTGGCTATTAAAATAAAACTGCAGGCCATTATTACAATGTACCCACCAAAAGTGAGCGTGGGAGGGTGTTCAGAAAAGCAAGACAGGATGAAGGCCAAGAGCAGAAACCTTGAGCTCAGTCAAGACTTAGATTCAAGCCCTTGCTTCCACTATACACCTGTTTCACTTTGGAGAACTCTTTATGCATTCCTCAGCCTTCTTTTTCTCCACCCATAGGAATGGTATCAAACCCCTGAGCTTGTTATGAGGATTATATGAAATGAAGCTTGGCATTGAATCAGCATCTAAAACTTGTTCTGTAACTATTAGCTTTGATTATGCAATGCAATAGAGTGAATTTGATCTTTCTGGGCCTCCCTCACCTAAAATCTTTAAATCTGGGCCTAAAATAAATCTTTATCATCATAAAGGCCAGAAAGCATCCCACATCTAAGAGTTATGCTTCTAGAAATGCAACTCAAGCCCTTAAAAGTATAAATACACAAGCATTCATTTACAAAGACTTTTTAAACCAAGTATGTGATCTTGTGCCTTATAAAAGTAAAAGGGATTATGTTTGCACCATCCCCCTTCCATGATCTAAGACCAGAAAATATTTTTTTATTAGACGAAAGTTTTAAGTCTGGCACGCTATGCAGGCAAAGAAGAAAATTAGGCATGTCCCAGAAGATTCCTGCCTGCAAGCCGTCTTCCCACTGTGCTCAGTGACCTCGTTTTTCAGCTGCAGATTCAGCTGAAAAGGTGAAAAGCACAGTGAGTAGAATTTGTTTTATTATTGTGGTTGAGGAGACATAAAACCAGACATCAAGAAGTGTAAAAACTTGGTTAATTTCTACATTATTCTAAACCATCGGGAGACAGAGCTGAGACAGTAAGATGGGACACAGCAATATATTTTCTTGTGCGTTTCCTTTTTTCAGCTCTTAGGCTGAAGAGAGTCCCTGGAAAGGGAAATTGTGGGACCTAGATTCTGGTCCTAGATTTTAGTTCACTCTGTGACCCTAGAATTATTCTCCAATATTGTACCAGGAAAAAGATAAATTCCTGACTTGAGTGTCAGCATCATCTCCTCCGGTTTCTAACTCATTCCCCACACTACACCAGAATGATCTTTTCAAAATATAAATTCCTCACAGCATAGTACACTTGGTGGCTTCCATTCCTCCACAAAGACAAAAGTCTGAGCAGGAGTTACAAGGCTGTGGATGGTCTCACTCCCAGTCCCTACTCATAGCCTCTTCTAGCAAAGAAGAGGCTCTATCCACACTGTCTTACATCCCTAGTCATGACAATACCCTCTACCTCAGGGCCTTTGTGCATGCTATTCCATTCAAATAGATGGCCTTTCTGCTTCCTCCATCTGCCTAGTTAACTCTTATTCTACCTTCAGATTTTAGCCAGTATTAACTTCTGTTCCCATTACTACTGCCATGAACAACCACTCCAAAACTTATTAACTCAAGACAACAACACTTTTTTCTCTCACAAGTCTGCAATTAAAAGGGCAGGATTAGTTCTGCTCCATACGGCAGCAAATGGAGCAGCTTGGAGGATCCATTTCCAAGCAGTTCATCGCATTGGTGGCTTTTAGGTGCGAGCTTCATTCCTCTCCCTGTGGGCATCTTCATGGGCTGCCAGCTTCCTCTCAGCATGGCAGCTGGAAGCTAGGAGCCAGTGTCCCAGGACACAGGGAGAAAGAAGCTCCAGTCCCTGGAGGCTGCTATGTCATCATTTCTCAAGCATCCCATTAGGTTAGCCAGTCACAGAGTCCAGAACCAAGAGGAAGTGAACACAGACCCACCTCTTAATGGCAAGACTATCAGAGAAGTTAGGGGACAGTTCCAAAACTGTCACAGCTTCCTCAAAGAAGTTTCCCCTGGCTTTCTTTTCAGGCAAACTCCTCACTTTGGGCTGTCAAAGCACCTTGTCTGCTTCCTCTGCACACTTAATCCCAAGCGTGTGCATGGCTGTGCATGTCTCACCCACTAGACTCTAAGCTTCGCAGGGGTTGCATTGGTCTCATTCATCGCCATATCTGTCACCCGCAGCAGAGAAGATACATGGTAACTATTGGTACAAGTGACTGAAGCAGAAAACCCATCAACAAGTCCAAGATGAAGTTTCTCAGACTGGGGCTCAAATGAAAAGGCCTTCGAGAAAGGCAGATAGCATGAACCAGGAAGGGAGTTGGGGAGGAAGCAATCAGGAGTAACTGAATCAGGCACGTGCCTTCTGCACAGCAGGGAGTGAGCCTCAGCCCTCGGAGCCAGCTGAGTGTCACTAGTGGGCACACAGGCCCGGGCTGACTAGAACTTGCAAGATTTTAAGAGCCAAAGCTTTTCAGTTTTTACATAAACTCTTATCAATTTTAAAATACAGACCACACACACACACACACAGTAAGCTAATTAAAATGTCTATGGACTGAATTCTGTCCCTTATATGTCCTACAATGCAGGCATGCTTCCCAAACCTTATTTTCTATAGCTGAAATGGCCCATCACTGAAGTTTGGTATGACATTTCTCCCCTTAGAATATACTTGAAAATATTTCTTATCTTGTTCTTTAAGAAAACATTTCCAGCCCTTATTATTTATCCCAGTATGCCATACTAATTACCTGTTTCTCTTGTTTATTCCCTTTTCTCCTCCAGTTGGATATGCTCAACAAGGGTAGGGGTTATAACTGTGCTCTGTTCACAAACTGAATCCAAAACCCTCATCCCTGGGAGTTAGAATTATTGCCTGACACATAGTAGGTGCCCAGCAATATCTTCCTGGTCAGAGAAGAAGGTGCTTAAAGCTGTGTTGTGGTTTAAATATAAAGTATCCTCCCAAAAGTCTCATGTATTGATCCCCAATGTAGCAGTGTTCACAGGTGGGATCTAGAGTGGTGACCACCATGGAGGATTAATTCACTGAAAAGTGCATGGCTGAATAGTCTCTAAGTAGGTGGGGCCCAGTTGTAGGAAGTAGGTCACTGGGCGCATACCTTTGAAGGGACGTCTTGTCCCTGGTGTCATCCTCTCTGGGTCCTTCCCCCTCACTCTGCTTCCTGGCTGCCATGAGGTGAGCGGCATTCCTCCACCATGTACTTGTGCCATGATGTATTTGCCTTGGAGCCATTTACCATGGACTAACCCACTCTGCAGCCATGAGCCAAAATAAATCTTCCTTCCTTCAACCATATATTTTAGGCATTTGGTCTTAGCAACAGAAAGCTGGCAAATACAACTGCTTCTTATGGTTCACTTTGTCTCTATCTTTCTGCTTTTCTTTTAGCACCTGTGAGGAGGAGAAGCTTAAGAAACTGGGATCTGGCCCGTTCATTCCAATCTACAGCTGCATCCTTTTGCCGTTGCTGCCTGAGGCTCACATGTAAGCCGTCTCACCTCCTGTCCATCTGCCTTGCTAGTTTATAAATGGAAGTTGAGTTCAAATGACTCCACAAGCTAATGTGCTGGGAGCTGTTGAGCTGTTCCTTTGTCCTCTTCAAAGGACTTAGGGCCTGAAGCCAACAAAACTATGTGATGTATTAAAAAAAAAAAATACTAGAAAGTAGACACGGTGGTCCAGACCTAGGTAGCAAATCAGCTGTGAATGACTCATCCCATTTCTTACCAAACCAGACACTGTGATATCAAATGTTTTGTAAGGCCTGATAAAATCTGTCTACAGCCCTTGCCAAACATGTGCAAGACCGTCTCAGCCAAAGCTCAAGGGATGTGATTTTTCTGGCAAGATTCAAGAAATTGTTTTCCCAAGAAGCGACTGTAGTCTGATGCCCCAGGACACAAGCTCCTGCTGCACAGTATACAGAGGCTAATCAGTTCTCTGAAGAACATTCTTGCATCTAAAACCTTGACATCTTGTTCCGCTTTGGTCTCTTCCAAAGAATTACAACTCCAGTTTTTTTTTCTTTTCCACTAGTTAGCACTTTTCAACTGGAAGATTTTTGGTATATGCTTTTGATTTTTGCATCGGATTTCTCAACCTCAGCACTACTGGCATTTTGGAAACAACAATTCTTTGTCATGAAGCATTGTCCTGTGTGTTGCAGGGTGCTTAGCACTCATGGGCTCCAGATACCAGTAACACCACTCCACCAAGCTGTGACAAATAAAAAGATCTCTAGATGCAGCTGAATGTCTTCTAGGTGCAAGACTACTCCTCTGACACCCACAATGAGCATCACTGCCTTAGGGCAATAAATTCCTTTAGGCCAGTAATGCAATGGATTCTAGACTTCTCGATCTACTCATTGGTCAGGTAGTTATTAGGTCCCCCAGGGTGATCATAGTAATATGGTCACTACTGACCCCTCCATAGACATTATCTCATTCAGTCTTCTCAGCATCCATATTGTGCAGTTGTTTATTATCTCTTCTCTGTAGATGAGGAAACAGAAGCTCAAAGAGGTCTACTTATCTGCCCATGGGCACAAATCTCAGTGTTACACTGAAATTGGGCTGTGTGGTTTGGTATTTTTGTTTGTTTGTTTGTTTGTTTTGAGAGGTAAAAGGTTTAGGTAGTCTTTATTGAAAGATGCAAGAAATTTGCCACGGCCATTCTTTAAGTTAACTTCTGCCAAACAGCCATCTTAATATGTTAAAAAAAAAAATTCTTTTTTTTCTATTAACTCTCAACTAATACCTTTAACAAATATCTCTAATCAAACACTGTCATTCCTAGGTTTATTTCACTATATTCGTAACTACCCTTTACCCTGAAAATAAGGCCTAAATGGAAAGTAGTCAGCCTTGAAACCCAGAGATAAAAAAATGCCAGCCTTAACCAGCTCTCCCTGCCATCGCTGTTATCTTGCTGGGTGACTCCTCTGAAAAGCAGGAAAGGCAACGATTGGCTGATTGGAGCCAGCATGTTCGATCTCTAGTTTTCAAAGTTGATCAGTTTCCATCCATGTCTTTTTTTAATTGTTTACTGATACAGTTTTGATATACGTAATTACCACATGGGAAAAACACTAGCCAGTTGTTTCTCAGGACTAATATCTGGAACATATGATGAATTGAAAAAAAATCAGACCCTCCCCCAAATGTAAAGATTCAATTGGGCTTTAAATCAGCTCCGTCTGTCCTTAGACCCCAATTTCTCATCATCACACACTACATAGAAAGTGTTTCCCATTCCCTTTCCTGTGATGAGCTCATGACTTATTTGGAGAGGCAAGTCCCCCACACTTGAAGAGGAAAATCACGCCAGAGTGAAATCATAAGACAAGGTGGCAGGCAAAGAAAATCATTAATAAGAGCTCTGAGTCCATAAGTAGATGATGCAGCCATCACAGACACCATCCTCATCATTATCATCAGCAGCACCTACCGGACACCACCTCATCCTCCCCTAACAGTCTAGGCTGTGATAAGCCCCACTGAATAGCACTTTCCTCCTACTTCCTTTTGATTGATATTATGATTGGTTTCTTGGCAGACCTGTTTGCTCAGGGTCATTCCAACTGGCAGCCTAAGCTTGATGTTCTGAAAACATCTCCTTGGAAAACTAGGTCCTGTTGTTTCCCATAAGGTTCCTTGGAAATATTTGCCCTGTTCCCTGCCTCTCTCTGGACAAACCCTCTGAAACCAGAGTTTTCATTTGCATCTGAATCATCTGAAGATGGGGTGAGGGTGCCTGAGCAATCCATATTCCCTCCCCATCCCATTCTATTCACTTTTTCTGAGTACAATGAAACTTAAATCAGCTGTGAAGTGACTGTGGGGAAAAACAAAGCCTAGAGAGGGGCAGAACTTGCAAGGGTCTCGTGACAGGAATCTTTATCTCGTGACTCCTAAGTCATATTTTTATACTAGGTGTATTAGGTAGGTGTATTAGCTTTTCTATCTCTGGACACACTATTCACCTCTCACATTTTAAAGGAGTGGTTTAATGTGGATTATGGTTCAAGGAATTCAGTCCATGGTCAGCTGGCTTCAAAACAGAAACATTATTGTGGAAGGACATGGCAGAGGAACGCTGCTCACATGACTCATGGCATCCAGGAAGCAAAGAGACAAAGGAGGAGCTGGAAACAAGAATACACCCTTCCAGGTCACACCCACAGTGATCCACCTCCTCTGGCCAGACCCCCACCTCCTAACACATTCAGTTATGTACTCATGAGTGAAACAATGAGTATAGTGTCCCTGTGAGCCAATCACCTTCCCAAAGCCTTGCTTCTGAACACAGGAGACTTTGGGGAGACATTCTAAACCAGAACAGTAGGCTATTATTATTATTGTCATTAATGTGGATGTTGTTCTTACTTGCTATGTCCTTAAAGGACCAGACAATAAATATCTTAGGCTTTACAGACCAAAAGTTAAATACTTAACTTTGCCATTATAACATAAAAGATACAGTGATGGGTTGTATTGGTTATGTTCCAATAAAGCTGTCTTGATAAAAAGAGATGGTGGGCCCACTGGCTAGAGCCTGTCAACCCCTGCCGTAAGCTGGAGACTGTCCTTTCTTCTCCTTGACTATACAAAGGTCCTGGCCTCATTTGATGACTAGATCAGTAACATATTGCTGTATTACAAAACAGTTTAACTGGAAATGCTTAAAACAGCAACCCTTGATTACTGCTTCCAAGTCTCCTGGTTGGCTGGGAGGTTCTGCTGGTCCAGGCTGGCTCAGCTGCTCTTGGTTGAGTTTGCTTAGATGTGTGTACCCAGCTAAAGCATGAGCTGGAGGTCAGCTGAACTAGGATGGCCTTGTTCACAAGCCTTTGGACCTTGGGCTCAGACTAGACAGAGTGGCCCTTCTGCCACATTCTACTGGCCAAGCAAGTCCTCAGCCCACCTCAGATACAAGGATTAGGAAAAAACACATCTCTTGATGGGGGGAAAGCAATAAAATCACCTTGCAAAGTGTATAAAGAAGAGAGGGATAGAGGATGGTAAGGGCATTTTTATAATTAGTCTACTGAAAGGCATCAGCCAGACCATCTGATCAGTTATGAAGCTCTCAGTCATCACATCAAATGTGAATCAGAGCCTTCTCAGCCTTCAATCCCAGTGTGACTGATCCCAAAACTGCCCACTAATTCTGAATACAGCTAAGTGTGGTTGTTCATGCCTGCCATCCCACCATTCTGGGAAGCTGAGGCAGGAGGATCTCAAGTTTAAACTCAGCCTGGGCTAATTAGCAAGACCCTATCTCAAAATTAAAAAATGAAATAAAAGATTAAAGGCCTGGGGGCTGTAGCTCAGTGCAAAGGCCCTAGGTCCAACCTCCACTATTGCAAATAATAATGATGAAGAGAATAATTTTGAATGGACTGCATCAGAATCAATCATTTAAAACTGGGAGGAGATGAAGGCAACACTGGCCCTTGTTTCTCCTCTAGGGTGATGTGGCTGTCCCTACAGCCTTTTGTGAGCAACTGTGCAGGAAAATCAATGCTCACCACGCGTGTCCAGATTTGCCCTTGGCCGTCAGCATGGGACACTCCGGATGGCTTTGTACGCAGTATCTGTGTTCCTCCATACAAGAAAAGAAAGCTGTTCTCTTCACAGGGATGTTTTCACCCACTACTGCGCTCTGGTTGGTATAGCAGCTTCAATAGCGAGGCTGATCAACTATGCTGGCCACTAGTGCTCACTGAATTCTGAGCTCCAGCACTGCGCAAGCAGACTTTGTGTATCCGACTTCTGTGTTTTCTCCTCCTCTGCCCTGCATTTAAGCAAATAAGTGTTTTCTCTTTTAATCTGGTCAAAATCCATGACATTGTGCTATGACGTGGCACGTGAACGATCCTTAGGAGAAAGGACTAATTCTTATTCAACATGTTTCTGGGGGCTTTTTTTTTTTCTCCTTCAGTCTGTTTCACCACAGATTAGATGAATCATCATTGGGCTTCAAACTTTTTATAAACAGAGAAAAAGGTCCAGACCCAATGAATGAAACTTGATGAAAAGAAAAGTCTCCCCCTTATGACAAGAGGCAACATTAACATTGAAGTCAGTGTGCAAATCTGGGAGCCAAACTGCCTGGACTCTGATTCCAACTTGACCAATTGTTGGCTTTGTGACCTTGGATAGGCTGGTGACCCTATATCTCAGTTTGCTTATCTGCAAAATGGAGATAATAATGGCAATTTCACAAGGATTTTTTAAGGATGAACTTAGTTCAAGGATGTTGAGCATGTCAAACAATGTCTGGGAGAGTAAGGACCCTATGGGCAGTATTTACTGTTACTTTGATTATTTTGCTTTATTGTTCCTACCTATCACGTCAGTGGTTGTGCCTATAAGAACTATGACCCCAAGATAACAGCTCAGAACAATGTCAGATCTGATTCAGTTCATCCTGACCATCATTTATCCAGCAACCAGAAATGTGTTGAGCCCCATCTGCGTCCAGTGCACAGGAGCGGAGGGGCACAGTAGGGTAAGACTCTGCAGCTTGTAGATTCATGGACTGTAGGGACAGAGAAACACGTAATCATAACAGACCCAGTGTGTGGACCAGGGGACACACTGCAGGGATGGGAATGCCATAGAAGGTCCACAGAGAGAGCCTAACCCAAACCTAGAGCAATCAAGGAGGGCTTCCTGTTAGAACTGATATCTGAGCAGAAGCCTAGTCACTGAAAGCCAGAGAAGGCGGAGTGGAAATACAGATCAAGAGCAGAGAACAGTGCTACACACTTCACCCCATCCTCACCTTAACTTTATGAGGTTATTACTATCACTTTACAGATGGGAAGACTGAGGCAGTTAAGTGATTTGGCCAGAGCCACGCATACCTAGTGGACGGTAAAGCTAACATTTTAACTTTGAGCATGTGGTGAGCTTGAGCCACTGAGAGGGATCACCCTGGGCTGCAGATGGGAAAAGTAGAAGCTGGAGAGGTGGCCAGGGGCCCTGCGTGTGCTGGTGTGTTCAGTTGGCCAGGGCTGCTACAACAGCATACCAGAGTGTGTGACTTACACACAGACCCAGCGGGTGGAAGTGAGTGATCGAGGCGCTGTCAGGGTTGGTTTCTCCGGAGGCCTCTCCTTGCCTTGCAGCCTCCTCCCCACGTCCTCACATGGGCTTTCTCCTGCTTCAGTCTCTGTGTGTCCAGGTCTCCTCATCGTACAAGGACCCGTGTCTTTGAATTGCCCCTTTAAAGTTCTGTCTCCAAATACAGTCACACTTGGATGTATTGGGGCTGGACCTTCAACGTAAGAATGTTAAGGGTTCACATTTAAGCCCAGGACAAATGGTTTGGGGAATTGGAAGATATTGATCAAGGGAAGAAGAGGGTCAGGTTTGCACTGATTCATGTCACCTACAGAAATGAATCTAATGGTCACAAGCCCCATGTCCCCACCAGCCACCCACCACCAAGTAGAGCCCATCTCAACGATGAGCTCCTTCTGCTTCTTCCCTGCACCCACCCCAGGCCTGCATGGGCTCTGTGTGGTGAAACAAGATTCACCTTGACCTTTCACAGCTTCCTGGGCTTGTAGTTAGGGCTTAGGGAAGTGCGCACACCCAGTGCCTCACATTTGGCATGTGGAGCCTCCTGGTTACATGCTGGATATGCCCGTGTGCCCAGAGCCACCAAGACTCTGTTTACCTATAGGACCCAGATGACCTTAGGGGGAAGAAAGCAACAATAACAGGAAGAGCCAGAGCTTATAGGAGCTTTCAGTCAGAAGTAGGTGAATGGTAGGGGCTTACTGAATAATTTGGAGAAGGAAATTAGTTTGTTTCTTTCCAGATCTCCAGAGAGAGATTGAGAGAGAGAGATTGAGAGAGAGAGACTGAGAGAGAGAGAGACAGAGACAAACACAGAGAGGCAGAGAGAAAGAGAGAGAGACTGACCCTTCCTTTTCCTAAGACCCTGCAGGCACAACCACCGCAGGCCGAGCGGGTAAGGTGAAGGGTAAGGGCAGCTTCCCTTTATGCTGAGTGGAGTGGATACCTCTCTCTCAGGAAAAGAGCAGCAGCCCTGGGTCTGCTCCATCCTTGGGCTCAGCACCAGGGCTTACTGGAAATGGGGGTGGATGATGACTTCCTGCCCTTGTGAGCATCAGGCCCAGGAACCCAGGGGAGACTGGGTCAGTGGGATGCAGTTTCAGTGAAGAGCTATCACACAGCTCAGTAATGGAGGCATCTTGTCTATTCATGTGAGAGGAGAAATCATAGGAGGATGAGGCTGACCAGGATGCCACCTTGTTCCCAGGAAAATTCAGGCAGCAGGTTAACCCTCTCCTGACCTTGCTCTCAGAGTGATCACCACTTTGGCTTTATCAGCACTTAGAGCTCAGTGCTTTGGGGTCAGTTAGACCTCAGTTGAAATCCTCACTAAGTCCAGCTCTGTGACCTCAGGTAACTCCTTCACCTCTCTGAGCTCAGATTGCCCTTCAGTAAAGAGGAGGTGAAAACAGTACCCTTCCTATAGGGATGTTCAGAGTATTAAATGAGATATTCAGACACCATTTCTGTCATCAGCAAGTTATACGACATTCAGCACTGTGATTGACCTCTTGGATTCTGATTTTCCCTCCTATAAACTGTAGATAATAATTCATAGCCAGTAGATTTGTGGGGAATTAAATAATATGGAAAAGGTACATTAGTTAATGCTTGGGTCATTGTAGATATTTAACATAAGTGCCCAAGAATTCCAAAAATGCAGATTAGATACCACAGACATCCTCCTGCCTCTGCCTTCTGAGTACCAGGATTACAGGCATGCCCCACCATGCCTAGCCTTAAATATATTTTTATCAGGGCTTTAGTTATATTTAATATGTTTAATGTGATTTGTTTCAATATCCAGCTACATTTTAAGGTGAAGTCCTTAAACATTGAAAGCAATGGGTCCAATTATTAATCTGAAAAAAATACAGTTAATACACTAGTTTCCCTGTGTTTCCAGATTTTCTTGCATACTTAGTTTATTTTCTGCTTATATATCAAATAAACAATCTGACACCCAGAGGATAGTCTTTTCAATTTTCTCATTTCTCTGCATCAGGATCTGCATCTGGGGGACCCCTCCATTATGTCCCCCACTACACACACCAACTCCCAGGGTCAGGTATAGAATCATTTTGTTTCAAATCATGGCTCTGCCACCTGCTGGCCCAGAGACTGGCATGGCTTCCCACTGTCCTCAGAGCCTAAAGTCCTCAGATGCAAAGTGGGGCTGTCTCTTTGAGAAAGGGTGAATTTCATGGTGTGTGCAAAATAAAGGTACCTGAGGATGGCGCTGGATTTCTAACAGCACAACTATGATTGCTGTGATTTCAAAGAATGTTATTCTAACAGGATCCTTCTGTCTTTGCAGCGAACCCCTCTTCCGCCAACTGTGTGCTCTCCATTGGCTCCTGGAGGCCCTGACCATCGACCACACCCACCACATCATGAAGCCCGTGATCACCTGCTTCAATACCAAGTACGGCTCTGCAGCCCCTCAATTGATCATTAACTAACAACAACCTGGGTAGTAGGGAAGAGACTTCTATCCATTGATCCTCTCCCCTTGCTATTTTTCTAGGTGGGTGCTTTACGAGTTCTGTGTGTTCTGTATGATTCAAACAGGGCTGAGCTGGAGCTAGCTCACACAGACCCATCACAGCCGATAAAATTCTGTGCCCCTCCCTGAAGCATCTCTTCCCAGCTCTGCATCCAGTGACATCACATTGGTCGCTTGAAATCAGTCAGCTTGAGGGTCAGCATTTACACCCTAGAAATGGACCAGCTATTGCAGCACACCACAGATCCACAGCTCGATTTCCCTTCCACCCCTTTCATGGCCTGTGCCACCCCAACATTTTTTGGTCTTCTCCTCTTCTTTTCCTCCTTCTACTGTTCCCTTTTATTCCTTGCTTTCTCTTTGTTATGTTTTTCTACTTTATTTCACTCTTTTATTTGGGGAGTGTTTTGTTTTGCTTTGCTTTGCTTTGGCTGTGTTGTGTTTTAATATAGATTGGAGAATATTTCTCCACTTGGACCCGAGAGAGCACTTGGAATTTGAGATCCTGGATCAGCTGTGTTTGCCCAGGCAGATGCTCCAGAACACATTATCTAAGCCAAGCAAAGTGTTAAGGGCATCATCACTAGACAGGAGGGCTCACGCAAAAGCTTTTAAGCCACTATCCCTGGAACTGACTGCATACTGGATGCAGAACAGGGAACAGACACACGTGCAGCGACGTTGCTTCTTTAGGAAGTCAAGTTGGCTGCAAGAATGAGACCTCCCCGCTCAAAGAAACAGGGACAGAACCCTGACTTGAGGAATTGGATTTGTGCCCTGAAAACAAAGGGCTGAGATAAATAAAATAGTTCCCCACCCCTTGCCCATGCTGTGTCCTCAGGCAGTGTCCCCAAAACACTGCTACTAGGGCCCTGACACAGCCCTGCCTTCCAGCCAAAGTCAGTGTTTTTCTTTTTCCAAAATTCTGAGTCTTAATTAATTCCTTCCTACAGAAGACATTTAACCACCCATCCCTGAAATCCTTCCCCATAACCCTGTTTCATCTCTCGTGCCAGGGCCCCAGTCAACTAACTTCAAGTGCAATCATAAATGTAACTCATGCATCTACTGACAGATCAGTGGCTTTAATTTATTAGGTGATTTTGGTTGGGATGAATTTAAAACCATAAGTTTCCTTCAGTACAGTGATTTACAACAATTTTTTCAAGCAATAATAATCCATTTTTAAAACAGAAATCCCAATCATGTAAAACAGATTTTTCTAAGTGGAACTTCTAAATGAAGCAACAAGTCCGAGAATCCTAGGAAACCTGGGGTTCTTCCAGCTACCTGCCTCCAGCCCCACATGCACTCCAGTTATTTCCAAAAAATCTTTGTGGCTCCCAGAATTTGTTTGAAAATCACAGCCTTAAAACATTTCCCATGCATTATTTATTTTTCTTTAAAGCAAAACTACTTGTAAGTCCAATTTACTCTTAGAAAAATTTTGTAAAAAAACTCACAAATGTATAAAGCATGAAAATTTTGATTTCCTCTTTGAAATCCCCTCCTTAGAGAAAGCCACCTTTAAGTCTTTAAGGTATATCACTCCAAATCTTGCTAATACCATCCCCTTTGTAAATATTTTTAACAGGAATGGAACCATGTTCTACATACTGTTCTCTACAGGACTTTTTTCCTTTAACAATGACTCATAGGTATTTTTCAGTGATGGGACATGTGAAGCTCCCACATTCATTTAATATTGAAAAGAACACACAGCAGGGTATTCTATTCTACAGACAGAACATAATTCAGATAATCGTTTGTCTATTGACAGACACTGAGGTCATTCTCAAAATGTTGACACTTCAAATAGCACTTCATGGACTATCCTTATACATATCTTTTATGCCCAGTTGCAACTATTTCCTTTAACTAAAGTCTGAGAAATAGAAAGCACGAGGTCAAAGTAACATGTTATTTTTTTTCACAGTTGATTGCTTAGATCCAGAGCCCCTGAGCCAGTTGACTTCTGCTAGCTCTTCATCTCCCTGAGAATGCCACCAGTAGCACATTTTGTCTCCAAAATATGAGCACTCATCCTCCCAGACCAAGGGAAAAACATAATATAGAATTTAGATGGAGGGGAGAAAAAAGATCACCTTTGTTTCCTTTGGTCAGTTATTTAAAATGTGCACAGAATGTGAACAAAAATACCCAAAAAACAAAAACTTTGTTAACTGCAATAACAACAGCAACAAAAAAAATGTAGTGGTCACACTAAGAGTACCAAACCTTCCGCCATGAGCCCGCCGGATATCATAAGTGTCAGCCTCCAAGATTAGAACCAGAACCAGACATGACCAGACCTGAGAGAAAACTATGATGCCCGAAGATTCCCATAGGAAGTCAGAGTATCTGTTGGGCTTTGGTTTTTTCTGGTGGGACATTTCCTCTTGATGAGGATCTTCAGTTGGGGGGCAGTGATGCCATGGTAAATGTTTAACAATGAGTTCTCTGGAGGCTGGAGAGTCGTGATTTGCAACAGTGCAGAAATCCATGGTGGAAATGCCCCCGCCTCCCGACCATGGCTGACTCCAAGTTTATCAGCACGATGTTACCGAACTTGGAGTTAGGAAATGGTGCATAGCAGTCCTTGATAGCCAGTATGAGCCAGTTCCAGCATACCACCATTTAGGATTCATTTTTATGCCATTATTATCATAAACGGAGGGTAAGTTCCCTGGAAAGTGTCTGAAAACATCTTTTAAATTAGCAAGAAAGCAGAAGAATGACTTCTTCTTAATGTTTAATCCATGTCTATGATGTTTTGCCCTTATGCCATAGTGCGAATTTCCCCAAATCTTCAAATATACTTTTTTAAATCCCACATAGATTCCAGTGACTGAAAGCAAGAGTTTTGGCATCTGGTGTCCTGGATATGAGTCCAGATCCTGCTACTTACTAGCTGTGTGATTTTTACCTGTTGGTAAAATTCTGCTTAATCACATCTGGAAAACATTTAGTCTAATATCTGGGAACACAAAGAGTACTCACTAGATGATAGCCATTGAACATAAAAATCCCTCCATTAAAGAGTAGTTAGGCCTATGATTATCAATGCCTTTAAAATTTCAGGGTAGAAGCTGTGCATGGTGGTGCAGGCCTGTAATCTCAGCTCAGAGGAGGCTGAGGCAGGAGGATTAATTCAAGTTTGAGGCCAACCTGGGCTTCATAGTAAATTCAAGACCAGCCTGAACTGCATAGGGAGACCCTGTCTCAAAAAAAATATATTTCAGGCTAAATAAGAAACTTTTGAGCAGACTTTTACCAACAGGTAAGATCCACAGTCACTGGTGATTGGACAGACAGGGATAAAAGGCTACCCAAGTCAAATGAAACCTAATTGCAAAGAGAAAGAATCCAGCAAATGACCTCAAGAAGGACAAACTAAATCTCCAGTTCCCCTGACTGTGCTTATTTGAGTTTCCACAGTCAAGCAGTCAGCTCCCTCCTGTTATTGACACATTTGGACGCTTCAGTGCTGGACCCTGAGACCCAGCTGCATTTTCTGAACCTCGATGACCTGTGGCTCCCAGAGGCTTCGTTTTCATCAGGCATAATGACAGCAGAGGATCCAGTCCTTCCCCTGATGGATTTTACAGCGAGGAAGTGGAGGTGGTTCAATACCTTGACGTGAGCTTTCCACAGCAGTCAGACTCCACACGTGGCAGCTGGAGTCCGAGGGCAGGAGAATGGTCTGCTGGTCACAGGAAGATCTCTTGTTCAGATGGCCCAGAGGATGTTGGCCGAATGGACAGATGACAGATTGTAGGATGTCATTGTGAATTTCTCCTGAGTCTCTGTTTTACTTAGGAAAAAAGACAACTTCTCACCTTCCCGATTTCACCACGTGGCAGTTCAAATCCATGATCATTTTCTGGCATCTTTGCTCCTCCTCATAACAAGAGAGTTTATTTCAACTGACAGGATGGACCAGCTTCACAACAAAAGGAGAAACTGAGCCAGTAATAAAGAATGTGCCAATTCCTCCTCCTTGAGAGATAAAAACCACTAGTTAGACAAAGTAAGACTTGATCTTTTTTTTTTTTTTAAAGAAGTTCCACAGAGCCAGGCCTGGTGGAGCATGCCTGTAGTCCCGGCACTCGGGAGGCTGAGGCAGGAGGATTGTTGCAAGTTCGAGACCAGCCTGGGCTAAATAAGTGAGCTCAAGGACAGCCTGAACTGCATAGTGAGACCCTGTCTCAAGAAAATAAAAAATATAAAGAAGATCCACAGGTCTTGATCCAAACCCTTGGGGACCATCCATGTTCCAGAATTTTTTTTCAGTAAGGAAAGATAGGATACACAGAGAGTCTAAAGCAGCACTCTGTCCGCAAACATATTTCTGCCGATAACAAAGAAGTGATTATTCATCCTAAGAGCATAATAAGAGTAAATAAAGGCCTTTCAGGTCATGCTTTGCTGCCAAATAAGTTACTTAAATTGCTGGTGAGTTTTAAAACCCTTTGGGTTTGGGATAAAGATGAAGCGTTGAGAGTCTGTATTGGTGTTATTCTTATTACAGGTGAAATATCCAAGGACTAACTAGAAAGGAGTTACCAAGAAGCAAATATGACTAGTTCTAGAGCTATCTCCCCAACACTCCTGCCATCTTCCCTCATCACAGTAGGGAGAAAAAAAAAAAAAAAAAACAGGAAAAAGGCCTGGCCAAATGTAGTGGAGTTGCCAACGGACCTGCCAGGCAGAGTCCCCAGCACCATGTGCTGTCCCTTACCGCCACAGGAGCAATTCAGTGGTCTAAGTCTCATTGCCTTGAGCTGTTCCAGGAAGACACGGTTGGGCCCAGTCTTAATCAGGGAAGCCAAGGGGCTGGGAATTTAGCTCAGTGGCAAAAGCACCTGCCTGGCATGCGCAAGGTCGTGAGTTCCGTTCCCGGTACCGGAGAAAAACCA